GGAGCCAACGGCGCTGGGACCATCCCAGCGGGACAAGGGCGCAAAACGGTCACTGCGGAGCCAACAGCTGGTGGCCGCACGTCCCCCAGGACGGAAGGACGGAAGCGGGCGTGGTTTCCCAGCAACATGCTGGGGCGCAGGCGGCGGGTGGCAAGACCAAGCCCAGGCTGCCAGCGCGGCGGTTGCGAACAACCCGTCAACGCCATGGCGGCGGGCGGAGGGAGGGAGAGCAGGCGGGAGAGGCAGGGGCTCGACCAAAGCAGAGCTCTTCGCTTTCGTTTTGTTGTCGTTTTGTTGTTGTTGGTGGTGGTGGTGTTGTTGAACTCTCACTTCTGAAGAATAATTATTGCTGATCCCCCCTCACCGGTGCATCCTGTTTTTTCTCCATCAAAGTGTGCCCCTCGACGCTCGCACCCTGTTTTTTTGACAAAGAAAATCTCGGTGCCCAAACTGGGCCCCTGGCCCCCTGGATTACAAGAACAACGGCTCCCGCCTGAGACTTTCTCCAAATTTACTCAGGACCCCCGCTCCTGAGACTTCCTCACAACTTACTCAGGATCGGTGTTCCCGCTTGTGACTTCCTCGCAATTTAATCAGGACCCCCGCTCCCATCTGAGACTTCCTCACACTTAATTCAGGAACGGCGCTCCCGCTTGAGACTTCCCCGCACTTGAATCAAGACTTCCTCACAATTTAATCCAGACCCCCGCTCCCGCCAGAGAGCCTTTTCACATCTTATTCAAGAAATGCGCTCTCGCCTGTGACTTCCATGGAAGTGATTCAGAAATCCCGCTTCCGACGCTCAGGAAACACGCTGCGCCAAGGACGCCGTTACAATTTACTTAGTAATCGCGCTCTCGCCATACTCAGGAATCCCGCTTGAATGCCCCACCCGCCCGACACGCCCGTCAGGGGATCGCCCGCCCTTCGCGGGCTTCCGCCCGAGACTTCCTTAAGGAGCGGCGCTTTCGCCTAGGACTTCCTCGAACGTTCACGCTCTTACCTTCCTGCTCCTCCTCCTCCTCCCTATCCCTCCTCCCTCCTCCCTCCTCTCCTCCCTTCTCTCTCCCTCCTCTCTTCACTCATTATCATGGTTCTCTGCCCTATCCCCTCTCCCTCCTCTCCCTCCTCCCTTCTCCCTCCCCTCTCCTGCCTCCTCCCCTCCTCCATCTTTTTTGTGTTCTCTCTCTCTCTCTCTCTCCCCTCTCTTTTGTTCTCTCTCTCTCTCTCTCTCGCTCTCTTTCTCTCTCTCTCTCTCTCTCTCTCTCTCTCTCTCTATCTCTCTCTCACTCTCACTCTCTCTCTCTCTCTCTCTCTCTCTCTCTCTTCTAAGACCTCTCTTATGTGTCTTTCTCTCTCTATCTCTCTCTCCCTCTCTCTCTCTCTCTTTCTCTCTCTCTCTCTCTCTCTCTCTGCCTCTAATGAACCGCCCACCTCGTCGCTCCTTCTCCTGGCGTTGTCCCTCTTCCTTCGTCCCTCCCCCTCCCTTCCTCCCACTCTCCCTCGTTCTACCCCTCCTCTTTTTGCAGGTCCCACACCTATTCCAATGGCGGGACATGTACGCCCACGAAGGATTGTCCGCCCGTTCAGGTTTGCCCGCGTGTCTACGCCCGCCGCCCCCCGCAAAGAGAAAGAATCACCCCAAAAGGGGGTGTGATCGAAGACAAAAAGGGGGGTATCGAGAGTGTGGGGAACTCGTTTTGAATGGCACGCGGGCAACTAAGAGCGAACAGT